AAAACCACCTCCAACAACAGAACCTAATTGCTCAACAACAAAGGCAAATCCAAGCCTTGCAACAACAACACCAACAGTACCAGAGTATGCAGTCCCAACAACATATACCTCAGTATAACTCGCAGCAATCTTATCAACAGCAAATCTACCAGGAACCGCAAGGTACTACCGATACAACAATAAATGTGTACATTTTTAGAGCATTTTTTGACCCATTTTCACATATTTTTTACTCAATTTTTGTCCAATTTTCACACATTCTTTACCCATTTTTTGTCCAATTTTTTCACATTGTAGAGCATTTTTTGACCAATTTTTCCAAATTTTTTGAACATTTTTTGTCCGATTCTCACGCATTCTTTACCCCATTTTTGTCTAATTTTTAACGTATTTTTGTCAAATTTTCACACGTTCTTTACCAATTTTTTGTTCAATTTTTTCACATTGTAGTGCATTTTTTGACCAATTTTTCCAAATTTTTTGAACATTTTTTGTCGGATTCTCACGCATTCTTTACCCCATTTTTGTCTAATTTTTAACGCATTTTTGTCCAATTTTCACACATTCTTTACCAATTTTTTGTTCAATTTTTTCACATTGTAGAGCATTTTTTGACCAATTTTTCTAAATTTTTTGAACGTTTTTTGTCCGATTCTCATGCATTCTTTACCCCATTTTTGTCTAATTTTTAACGCATTTTTGTCCAATTTTCACATTCTTTACCAATTTTTTGTTCAATTTTTTCACATTGCAGAGCATTTTTTGACCAATTTTTCCAAATTTATTGAACATTTTTTGTCCGATTCTCACGCATTCATTACCCCATTTTTGTCTAATTTTTAACGCATTTTTGTTCAATTTTCACACATTCTTTACCAATTTTTTGTTCAATTTTTTCACATTGTAGAGCATTTTTTGACCAATTTTTCCAAATTTTTTGAACATTTTTTGTTCGATTTTCACGCATTCTTTACCCCATTTTTGGTCTAATTTTTAACGCATTTTTGTCCAATTTTCACACAATCTACCCATTTTTTTCCAATCTTTCCACATTTATCGAGCGTTTTTTGACCAAACAAATTATTTTTTAATTGTTTTTAGTGTTCGCATCTCCACTACAAACGTCGGCCAGTGCACCGCACGTGCCTCAAACGATGTACGGGCAACCTCGAGGACAATCTCAGGGACAATTCTACTTGTACGAACAACCGCCTCCAGCCGCCCCGCAACGCAGGACGTGGGCCCAACAACCTCAACCGCCCCCCGTACCGATCGAGCCCTACCACCAACCCGAATTGAGGAACTGGAACAAACCCAACAACGCCACCGAATCGGCGAGAATAGCCGGCGGAGGCGGCGGAGGATTCGTTCTACACGACACCGACAGGTTCGTTGCGATATTTCTCACAATAGACCTATTCAGTTTACGAAAGAGAGTGATGGAGTTATTAGATCAACATAAGAGAATAAAAGAAGCAAATATGTTTCACGCGCAATCTGTGGAACCATTTAAAATCTGCGCAAACATAAGTGCAAGAGAGATGTGATATTTGGCCTATTTCATTGCTGATTGACAGACCCATTGAATGATTCTTGGATGAAAACTGTTTTAAATATAAAAAAGAAGAGACCATCTTCAATCTTAACCCTATTTTGTTTCATGTTTCCGTTTGATGTTTGTTTATGTTCAGTGTGTATTATTTTTTAACAGTATTTCTTTGTATTATTTAGTATATTTATTTATAAAGGTTATAATTTTTTATATAGGTCAATGGGATTATTTCTTTGAAATATATATTACAGCAAACCGATCAAAAAGCATTTTCGGAAACTTTGTACTAACCCTCTTACACTTTCTTAGACTTGACCTGTATATAAGTATTAAGCCTAATCCCCTTTCTGGGTAGTAACAACAAATTTGTATCGAGTCATCGCGTCCATTACAAATTAAATCCGACGGATTATTGGATAATGACAAATGACGTCTGAAGTATGTCTTAAGTTGTCGTTGTCTAGTTGTCAGAACCGTATTTTACCTGAGGTGCGTTCGTTTGTTCGTTTAGATGTCAAGTTAATTGTCCACAGTATGCGCGCGCAGCACAGGTTAAACTGAATAGGTCTATTTCGATCATCTAATAACGCCGACATTCATTGTACTAACGGTTCGGTGTAGGTATCAGGATCACAGGTATCAGGATAACACGCGTTACAGCGATAGCCCGCGCTTCTTCGAGGCGAAACACCAAAACGGCGACGATCACGCGCCGCTCCATTCCAACAGCTTCACCCTCAGCCAACAACACCACCAACACAACCACCATTCGAGCAACTACGGCACCTCGAACAGCACCCCGTCGGCTTCGCCGCAACATCGGACCATTCACAGGCAAATATCATCCGTTTATACGCTGTGTTATTTATAAGATGCGACATAGGGATTCCTGTACAAATGTGTCAAAAGCGAGCTAACTTTTTTACCAAATAACGTTCGTAAAAAATATTGACAGATTTGAAAAGATCGTCAAAAAATAAGTCGAAATGGACATTAAATTTTATTAAATTCGTTCTGGTTTAATTTAAAAATTTATAATTAAGTTGAAAAAAGTCAAACGTCATAAATGTTGTCATTTTTGTCATTTTTGTCACTATCTAATAATTGTAAAATTGGCGGAGTTAGCCGGGATGGTTTACGCTCTGAAATTTAATAATTTTAGCGGAAAGTAATGTGGTTCAATCCCCGTGCAGTAAAGACATTTTTTTCTTTTTTTTTTTTTGGGTTTTTTCTAATATTTAAAATAAGACGAGCTTATTTGAGATATAATTTTATTTTTATTTAAATAAAAGCTCCGACAATTAAGTGTCAATTTTAATAACGCAAAATCTCGGTAGATCCTTTAAAATGATGCCATATTTTTATTCTTGACAAAAAAAAAACATTAAAAAAACAAAATATGCCAAATAAAAAAGAAAAAAAAAATCAGCACTGCGTGGGATTGAACCAGATTCCTTACCGCTGAATTTTTCAAACTTCAGAGCGCAAACCATTCCAGATATCTCCGCCCCTTTTAACAATTATTAGATAGTGACATATGACGTATGACTTTTTTCAACTTAATTATACATTTTTTTAATTAAACCAGAACGAATTTAATAAAATTTAATGTCCATTTCGACTTATTTTTTGACGATCTTTTCAAATCTGTCATTATTTTTTACGAACGTTATTTGGTAAAAAAGTTACCTTGTTTTTGACACATTTGTACAGGAATCCCTATGTCACATCTTATAAATAACACAGTGTATATTAAAATATATCGTTTATACGTCGCTAAATCGCGTCTAAATTACAGGCAAATATCGCAATTGCTCGACGAAGCCAAACGAACCCCGGTGAGTTTGCAGCAAATCGACGCCAAGGAGCCGCCATCGCGTCGAACCAACATCACCCACGCGGCCATTCCCGCTCCCTCCGTCGACGACATGGAACCCCAAAATATATCGTTCATCGGGAATCCGAGCGCCGACAAACTCAACGAAGGTACTCGCCAAAACTCGCTCTAAATCAAACCCACCATTAACACCCTATTCCAGGCCTCAGTCGATTGAACATCACATCGGGCAGTCGAACGTACAGGATACCGTCGCCCACGCGACCCTCGATCACCCGCAACTCGTTCCAACCGACGCCGTCGCCGCCGCTCTTGGAACCCGCCGCCGCCGCCGCCGCCGAAGTCAGCAGCTTAGACAACGATCCGACGAACCAGAAGGGCTTCTACATCAGCTTCGACAACGACCAACCGAAGCGACCGAAGCCGCCGCTTCGCGCCAAGAAGATGTCCCCGAAGAAGGAGCGCAGCTACATTCGATCCACCGAGGACCTGTACGACAAGAAGGTGAGCCCGATCGATCCCAATGAGCGTTAAATTTGAGTCGAAAACGCCTTTAATCGAAGATGTAGTAAGAGGAGTTCATGTGTCCTCAAAGATAATACTCCAGAGGTGTTAGGTCAGGCGATCTCGGAGGCCATCGAACAGGACCTCCTCTTCCGATTCGCTTCGAACTGGCTTTTGGACGAGAAATGGATGAGGCATTTTATACTTAAAATTGACCAATGTCTCTCATGTTTGGTGTTTTTTCCTCAGGAAGAACAAGAGAGATTGGAGAAACCGAGGCAGCTAGAGAAGCAATTCGACGAGGAGCGAGCGAGACGGAGCGCGGAGGAACGGAGACAGGCGTTGATCGAGCAGGAGAGGGAGAAATTGAGGGCGAAACGTGAAGCTAGTCAAGAAAGGCAGAAAGTCAATGCTGCCAGCGCTTTAATTATAGGACCCGAACTTAATAATCCCAATCCTGTAAGTTTGTATATAAATCATTCGAATGCTTTGTTTTACGGTGATCGTTGCAGGAATTAGATTACGAAAGGGAGAGGAAGAAGGAGAAGATCATGTTGCTGTCGTTGCAGAGGCGACAACAACAGGAGGAGGCCAAAGCTAGGAAAGAAGCGGAGGCGTTGGCTCGCAGGGAAATGGAGAAGATGAAGGAGGAGGAGAAGGCGAGGAAAAAGGAAGAGCAAGCGGCCAGGAGGCAGGCTATTTTGGAACAGTACAAGCTGAAAAAAGCGTTGGAGGAAGCCGAACGAGAGGTTTGTTTTCTTTTTAATTTGGAAATTTGTCAAAACATTTCGAGAATTCTTCCGTCTATTTAAAATGCGCGACGCGTCGCACTTAAAGAAAGCGTTATGGATCGCATCGGGCGATGCATACGAGCGATCTATTTATACCGTACATGCTACATTTCGTCTCGTTATTTCACGAGATTATTTTCGGGGGATAGTAGTAGTTCGTTCACTCCAAACAGTACGGTGTTGTCGTCGCGCGCGGAACCTCTCTTGTTTGCATTTCGCCAGTGGATTTTTTATTTATTTTTTTTTTACAAATATTTGGATGCCTTTTGGTCGCTACGATGTCTTTTATTTATTGGTCGTTGGTAATTATTTTATTACGTTGTAATTTACGAAAAAATACAGTTTTTTAGAGGCGTATGTAATTGGGTTATACGACGGTTTGTTGGTTTGATTAAACAGAAGATAAGTTTGTTAAATAATAGTTGATAAGGTGTTATTAAGATGTAATTGTTATATTTCGTGCGTTAACTTAAAGGAGATAATTTATAATATAGTTGTAACTAAATGATTTTTTAAGAGATTTTTTTTGAATAAATTCGATCTTGAGGCCTGTTATGAGAGTTGCAATATCCCTAGCGTGATTTATAAGATTACCATAAATAACCAAACGTTTCTTCAAGAGATCTTTTTGTAGGAGCTCCAAATTGAAATAAATTTCGAATGACAATTTTATAATTTCCAAGATATTTTTCCAAGATTCAAGATCGAGACAAATTGAGATAAATTCCCGGTTATGAGAGTTTGTTAATTTCCAGGGCAAGACATTGGACAAATCCGAATTCGCCCATCCGATGAAGCCCGTTCCGAGGATGCGCCCGAAGGCGAGCACCCGCCCTCGGCCCAAGACCATCCACATCGACAGCGGTTCGGTGCAAATGGCCGAAGGGATGTCCAGCCGAGGCAAGAAGGGCTCGTCGAGTAACCTAACAGGTAATTTTACAACGATTTTTGTTGTACAAATATGTTGGTTTTTTTTTCGATTTTGCACGTAGTTTTTTTTTTCTTTTAAATTTTATTTGTCAGCTTACGCTCCTTCCACTATGAAAAGAGATTACTATAGAGGTTCACAAGACAGCTTGGCAGAGAGAAGCATGAGCAGCGGCATGTTATACAAAGGTGTGTTTTTATTTTTTTTAAGTTTCTACCCTTTTGATTTTATAAAAATTACTACACAAACTGCTTATACACACAAGACAGTTATAGAGTCGGATCCTCGCTCGCTCGATTTATGTAAATAACATTTCCTTAAAAACAAATCGCCCTGTTCTATATTTCAATTTAAATTCAAATAATTTCTCATTTAAGATAAAAAAACACCCTTTAGTGAAGAAATGACAAGTTTGACAGTTGACAGTTCGATGTGTTGTTCATCGCTGCTGTCATTTGTGTAGTTTTTTTTTTAAATAATTTGATTGTTTCTCGGTTTTTGGTAAGTACAAATTACCAAGAAACGTATATTTTTGCGAATTATTGCAATTTCTTTTATTTTCGTTCATTAAAAGTGGCGAAATTGTCTAAATAACTAAAAAATCTCATTTCGGTGTAGTTCCGTTTGAACCAAACGAACGGACAACGTCCATCAAATAGTTTATTTAGACATCTGTCATCTGTCAAAAATTTTACTTTTTTATTTCGATTTACGAAAAAAAAACGTATCTAGCTAGCGAAAAGAGGCCGATTTTCGTAATCGGCGATTTTTTTACGTCCCCCTCTGTATGCCCCAGAAAAGCATTTTTTAAATCAATTTTATGTTAAAATTCAATTACAGCAGGTTGCTTAGTAGAGGAAACTTTCATCTTCAAGTTTCCGGTTCCGGAATGTAAATAGATATATACAGAGTGTACAAAAAGTTGGAAAACTGATTGAATTTCGAATGCTCGAATCCAATATTTTTGGACACCCTGTATACAACTAAACTAGTGTAAAGAGTAGTAGACTTTATGTGAAAATTATGTGTGTTTCAGAATCCCCGGACGACAGCAGGGGGGTTTCGCCCTGTCCCAGTGCCAATCAAACGTTGGGGCGAAGGAGTTCATACAAAACCAGTCGAGGTAAGGGCCGGTGAAATGCCTATATCAAAGGCGATGTAAATGTGATCGGAGTAGTAATGTTGAAATCGAACGCACGCCACTATTTTAATTGTACATTCTATCATTTTTTATTCCATTCGATTACTATTATAAATATTTATTTAATTATTGTTTTTGGTTAGTGTGCATCTGTTGATTTTTTTTTCCGTTGCTGGTCTCTCACTTTTGTTTATTTTACGTGTTCTTGCGAAAATTTAGTGTATTGGAAAGCGAGTAGATGTAAAGATGTAGGCTAAAGAAATACAAATACAGATTTTGGCGCAACTAAGGTGAGTTGTGTTTTAGAAATTGGGCACTTTTTTCGTACGAACATTCCACGTTAATTAGTATAGGTGCGCAGATCAAACCGTAGGGCCGGGCACTCATCTGTTACCATAAGGATTAGTTTCATTCGTAGAAAATTGCTTCAAAATCTGTTTTGTCGGAATGGGAATGGCGAGAAATAGTCAGAAACGAGTCTTGTCGATTGCGACTTGAAAAAAAAACACAATAAAAGATTGGAGAGTAGTGTATGTATTGTTAACGATATTTTTACAGACCCCTCTCCTGCTCAGGTACGCGGCAGACCTAAGTATTCGGCTTATCAAAACTTTAAAGGGCGCAAGTCTAGCTCTCTGATGAATTTGTACGGTAAGATAGACCTTCACGCCTGGTTTATTAGGTGGTATTCTCGTTCATATTTGCTAGATGTCTTGAGCTGTGGGGCATGATGGATACTTACATGATTTATTTCTATTTCACTATTATATAATTTTTGGTTTACATTTTCGCTCGTTTAGTAATTTTCCCCGCTGTGTAATTTCCTATTTTTAAGCGGCAGCGGGTCTGCTCCTTGCGGATACATCACAAATTTATTCAATTATTTGCGAAATTTTTGGAAATTTGTGGTTTCTGGAAGAGCAGATCTCGTTTTGAATTCTAAATTGTTGGGTGTCTGTGGACGAAAAGGAGTCGTTTTTCAGATGTACAATTTACAATTCACTGTCTTAGAATTTTTATTAATTTTTTTTAGATGGTGTTGGTGTTTTTTTAATTTTATTGTAACTGTTTATTACTTTTTATTACAATCCTGCCTGTTTATTGTCAAGTGATTTATTATGATATTGTTTTATGAATACATAACAGACAATTTTTTATTGCAAGTTCAATCGATTTTTTAGGCTTAAACAAAACTAAGGCCTATATTAAATGCACTTATCAAATTATTAATCGATTGAACTTTTATTTGGAATTTCAACGTTCGTTAGAAGATAGTTTGGTTATTTCAATTTTTAAAAATTATTTATAGTTAATTCAAGTTACAATTCAAGAAAAAATCCTGCTTGTATACGCTTTTTTACGGAGGCTTCAAATATGTTAATACGAACAAATAACGGTCAAACATCCTGGGAAAACCGCTTTTATTATTGATTAAATCATCCGTATCTTTGGCATAAATTTCCGACGATCTTCTGTGATTAAATCCTGTAATATAATCGACTAATTCCACCGGTGTATGGCGAACACGACACACATTAACATTGTGTAATACACATCAAATAAAGCACAAAAACTCCTACTTGTAATATAATTATGTAATATAATTAATAAACAATAATTCAGTGGCCGGTTACATGAACAACACACGAAACAAATTCCACTCTTGTACAACAGAGGTTAAACACCGTTAGGTTGTCGCGAATTTCTTTTGAAAATGGTTCTTCCGCAGGTTCGAGCACCGACCAAGACAGCCTGGCGTATCGTTACGGCGACACCGATTCGGGCCTGGGACGGGCCACGCCGCCCCGCAGGGCCCCCTCGCCCGGCATGAGCATGCGCCATCTACCGTCCCCGTCGGGGCCGGGCAGCCTGCCGGGACTCATGTCCAAAGGACGAAGGATGTTCGACGACGGATCCAGCGACATCAGCTCCACGCCCAGCATGATGGACTACAACGGTAACTAACATTTATACTCCGTTCGCTGTCGGATGGAGATCGTAGAGGCGAGATGTAAATATGGATGTGCGATTTCAGGGCCTCGATTGTACAAGCAGCCGGCCACCAAGTCGAATCGCAGCATTATGCTGAACGCCGTTGAGTATTGCGTGTTTCCGGGCGCCGTCAACAGGGAGGCGAAGAAGAGAGTGCTGGAGGAGATCAGCCGATCGGAGAGCAAGCATTTTCTGATACTCTTCAGGGACGCCGGCTGCCAGTTTAGGGCGCTCTACTCGTACTGTCCCGAGCGCGAGGAGATTACCAAGCTGTACGGTACGGGGCCCAAGCAGGTCAACGATAAGATGTTCGATAAGTTTTTCAAGTAAGTGTAAAACGGTTTTTTTAAGTGTATACATAAACCGTTGGAAAATTATTCGCGCATAATAGAGAAGTCGATGTTAAATTCTTAGCCGTCTGAAATCCAGTCTACCAGTGTACATTTCAGTAGAACGTCGCGATAAATTCTAATAAATTTAATTGTTCTACTGGACTTCACACCGCGATTTGGTTCGGTTAGATTAAAAATCAAATAATTTCGACGGTTTCGACACTTCGACAGTATCAAAACGGGTTCGGATGGGTGAACGTCAAGTCGAATAAAAAGAAATGACAATTTTTAAACGATATTTTATTGAATAAATATCACTAATATTAAAATAGAATTATGTAGATATGTCTTTTTGCCACAATTTCTTGAAAAAGAAAGTACATTCTAAGAAAATAATAAAAAGGAAACTCCAAAAATAAACTTAAAGATTATTTTAAAACAAAAAATAAAAGAACTCTAAAAAATAGTCCACCGCTTTCTGCTAAACAATAGTCAAACCTGTTATACAGATGTCATCTCATATTACTGAGCTGAGGTATAATTCTAGCGGAAAATTGAATTATTTTTTCCCTTATTTCAACAAGATTTGTTGCTCTTTCAAAACTGTACCTACCGATACACATATTTTTTTGAAATATCCCCAAAAAAAATATTAAATTTAGTTTCTAAATAATTTTGTACCTCATACTTAACACATACACTGTTGGAAATTATTTCGCGCATAATAGGGAAATCAATGTTAATTTCTTAGCCGGCTGAAATCCAGTCTACCAGTGTACATTTAAATAGAACGTCGCGATTAATTCTAATAAATTTAATTGTTCTACTGGACCGCACGCCGCGATTTGTAGAGGTACCAAGTTATTTGTGTTAGGTATGAGGTACAAAATTATTTAGAAACTACATTTAATAGTTTTTTTGGGGATATTTCAAAAAAATATGTGTATCGGTAGGTACAGTTTTGAAAGAACAACAAATCTTGTTGAAATAAGGAAAAAAATAATTCAATTTTCTGCAAGAATTTCATCTCAGCTCAGTAATACAAGATGACATCTGTATGACAGGTTTGACAGGTATAGTTTAGCAGAAAGTGGTGGACTATTTTTTAGAGTTCTTTTATTTTCTGTTTTAAAATTATCTTTATTATAGTTTATTTTTGAAATTTCCTTTTTATTTTTTTAGAATTTACTTTCTTTTTCAAGCCATTGTGGCAAAAAGACATATCTACATAATTCTATTTTAATATTAGTGATTATTATTCAATAAATACCGTTTAAAAATTCTCATTTCTTTTTAATCGACTCGACGTTCACCCATTCAAACCCGTTTTGATACTGTCGAAGTGTCGAAACCGTCGAAATTATTTGATTTTTAATCTAACCAAGCCAAAGCGCGGTGTGAAGTCCAGTAGAACAATAAAATTTATTAGAATTGATCGCGACGTTCTATCGCGAAATGTACACTGGTAGATTGGATTTCAGCCGGCTAAGAATTTAACATTGATTTCCCTATTGTGCGAAATTAAATTTCCAACGGTGTATACAGTCTGAGATACAGTGTGCAAGATGGTACCCAATTTTTATTTTATCTGAGATACGTGTGTGAATGAAGATTGATGGATGATTTATTTTAGGTATAATTCCGGCGGAAAATGCTTCTCTCAAATACACACGAAGCATTTGACTGTGACGATAGATGCTTTTACGATCCACAATTCGTTGTGGCAAGGTAAAAAGGTGAACCTTCCAAACAAGAAAGATATGGCTTTAGTTATATAAGTTGAAAAGAGGAATCTAAAGAATGTTGTTAATTAGTCATCTAATATATTCGTATTATTTTTGTTAACGCTTTATTAAAAGTTATTACTTTATCTGTTGTAGGCATTTGTCGAACAAATTACTATTTTTTATTAATTTAATACGATATTGTTTGATTTGATGAGAAATAACCACGTATTTATGTCAGTGTTGCAATGTCTGCGATATTAAATTATATCACTTTTTGTACCAGGGAGAAAAAAAGCTATTTTATTCCTGTTTTTTGTTTTATATTATGTGCCTTTTTGTACGTATTTTTTAAGTATTCCTTTGTGGTATTGTTTACATTAATTTCATTTATTTGTGCCAATAAAATTTAATCTAAAGAATCACAACAATGCTTTATTGTACTTGTTCTGTCCATGGAGAAAAAACAATAAAAAAATTTCTTGTTAGTGTCATTCCAAAAACGTTTAGATTAGACAAATGCAGGGCTGTTTTCGGTAAAAAAAAGTTTCGTATTCGATTTTCGGCCCGACAATTTTGTAACAAACGCGTAGTTAGTTATTTTTTAATGCGAAATTAAACGAACCGCCGAAAATCGCGTACGGCATTTTACCTTTCTTTTGTAACTCACTTGAAAAGTTTTTCGCTTCGAGATGTTTGTAAATTTATTTATAACGGTGCACTAGCATTAAGATGCATTAGATAAGTGTAAAAAATCGGAATTGTTTGTCGCCAGTTGATGTTGAAATTGCGGTCGCTTCTCTCGGTCCATTACGCCGGTTTATTTTTTCCTAATTCCAGTTATATTTAGATTGAATTTTAGAAAAGAAAATTTTTATTTCGGCTGGAGGATGCGACGTTGAATTTCAATAATCACTCGTATTGAACTAAACTTTGTGATTATAAATTTTTTAGAATTTCATTTTTTTTACCTAATATTACGTTAATCTGTAACAATTTTTAATTTATAAAAAAAACAAATCACTAATCTTCATGTCTGTACATATTATGTTTTTATAATACATGAAATATTTATTAATTGTACACTTGTATGAGTCAAAAACACAGGATACAGTAAATAAAAATTCGTAACCCATTTTTTTCGTTTCTTTTCAACCCTCGAGAAATTGGAAATTATTATGAAAAATTATTTTATTTGAAACATACGACATTACATCCAAACAAATATGTTACAATAAGAGGGAGAGCCTTACACTTTATAAATATGTTATAGCCTACAACTATGATATGTTGGGTAAATTTACGAGTAATATGTACAAGTATGTCTCTTAAACTTATTATAAACAGTAAGAAATTGGTCCAACTAACTTCACAATTTCTTATAGATAAATTGCTAAATTATTTGACATATAGAGGAAAGGAAAACTTAACAATCAGTACGTTTTAGTTTTCTTACAGCGAAGCTTTTGAAGCTGTGATTAAGATGGCAAAACTAAGTTATAGTTTCATAAAGCAGCTAATTATTAAAAATTTATCTAGTTAATTATTTTAAATTTATAATTGACTTTAAAGTTATTAATGTGCATAGTAATCGGACAACGAAAATGTACTCGAAAAACTGTGATACTTGAAAACGTGCTAGAAAACCTTCATTAATATACAGGTTGTCCCACACAAGAACCGATTTAGAGCGTTAACCCTGCTGTGTCAATTCTTATGCGGGACACCCTGTATAATTATTTCATATTTTAAACGTTCATTTTTAGAGAAAGCTCAAAATTCAAGCAATGTATTAGAGAAGATTCCAACGAAATTTAAATGCTCTTTTTCATATCAGTTCACATTTTAACAGATTTTAAAATTGCGTTATTTTAATAACGTTATTTTAAAGTTTAGCGGAAGGCGGAAGTTCAACGACAAACATGTAAAAACATCAGTACTTTTCCGCTAGTCTATGATTAAGATATTAATATATTTTTTACAATATACTCCTTATTAGTTCTGACGAAACATTCAGTAGAAAACTTTTACAATTACGTTCGATACAAAAAATATAAAATGGTTTTCCGGCGAACGGAGAAAACTTTTCGATTAAAAATTAATTCATAAACAACTGCTTTTATATTTATTAGATATTTTTGCAGAAAGTTGATTCAATACAATTAACATCGCGCTAAATTAAAAGTTACCTAAATAATTTTCAGATATGTTTGAGTTATCGAAATATAGAGTCTACATAAATTATTGAATCCCACGTTACCCGTTACCTAAAAATTTGTGCAACCAAATTGAACTGTTATTAGTTTCAAGAAATGTGATTTTGAATACAAATCAACACAGTGGCGTAAGAACATTAATTCACTAGGTTAGGTTGTTCATTATTTTCACTTACCATTACTTTAAGATTGTTGATACACAGTTTTCTTCGGGAAAAGCACAAGAAAAACTAGGAAAAATAAACAAAACAGATTATTTCTACCGAGAATAAATGATCGAGTTGACGTTGACTTGACATTAATGACAGTATTCTAGTAACTTATTTTTTGGGTACCAACATAAACATAACAAAATTACTACGTTCATTCCGAATTTGGTCACGTAGGAATCAATCATTTATGAAGACTACTTCCATGCTAAACTTTAAAATTTTTTTAGTAGTAAAATTAATTCGTGCGCAATCCCTCGTATTGAATCAACCCAGCACGCAAATATAATATTTAAATTTAATACGAAAAGACATGTACACCTATTCAAAACACATTCAACTACCGCTAAATCTTATGTAACAATTATTTAATGTTTGTACACATCCGTACTGATTTCAAATAAACCGGCTTTTGAACACCGTCAGTACTTGCTCTTTTAGAATTATCTACATCGACTCTTCCAAAGAGTCGCAAAATAGAAACAAAGTATTTTTTTTATTTTTACACATATTCAAAAACAACGAAAGGTATCTTACATTCTACATATAGACCTAGGTAAATCTACAATGTGCCCCAAACAATAGAAGGTTTCTATATACTTTTCAATGTGGAATGAAAGAAAATGCAAGTGAAAGAATTTCATCTATTAGAGTGAGTTTTCTTTTATATACAGTGTAAGTCAATAGAATTAGTTATTGACTCACCCTGTAGATGAAAAGCTATATTGAAACATTCGACAAATTCACATAATTCTCACGTAACAATTGCACAAGGGTCAATTAACAATAAAAATAGGTCATTTATACTCACTAAAATTTACGTATGTACAAAATATTAAATTAGCACCATTTATTTAAATTGAAATATTATATATCGTTATTTAAAATTCACATATTTACAGGGTAAATAAACAACAATCGCAGAAAATTTAATAATAAAAAAAAACACTATTTGACCTAAGCATTTTTAATGTATATACAGTGCGATGGAAATAGCTGTAAACGTGACGTAACGTAACCAACTATTTCTACACCGTTGGAAATTTAATTTCGCATAATAGGGAAATCAATGTTAAATTCTTAGCCGGCTGAAATCCAGTCTACCAGTGTACATTTCAATAGAACGTCGCGATCAATTCTAATAAATTTAATTGTTCAACTGGACCGCACGCCGCGATTTGTAGAGGTACAAAGTAATTTGTGTTAAGTATGAGGTACAAAATTATTTAGAAACTAAATGTAATATTTTTTTGAAGATATTTCAAAAAAATATGTGTATCGGTAGGTACAGTTTTGAAAGAGCAACAAATCTTGTTGAAATAAGGGAAAAAATAATTCAATTTTCTGCTAGAATTATACCTCAGCTCAGTAATATGGGATGACATCTGTATAACAGGTTTGGCTATTGTTTAGCAGAAAGCGGTGAACTATTTTTTAAAGTTCTTTTATTTTTTTTTTAAATTATCTTTCTTTATTTTTGGAGTTTCCTTTTTATTATTTTCTTAGAATTTACTTTCTTTTTCAAGCCATTGTGGCAAAAAGACATATCTACATAATTCTATTTTAATATTAGTGATATTTTTTCAATGAATTATCGTTCAAATATTCTCATTTCTTTTTAATCGACTCGACGTTCACCCATCTGAACCCGTTTTGATACTGTCGAAGTGTCGAAACCGTCGAAATTATTTGATTTTTAATCTAATCGAACCAAATCGCGGTGTGAAGTCCAGTAGAACAATTAAATTTATTAGAATTAATCGCGACGTTCTATTGAAATGTACACTGGTAGACTGGATTTCAGACGGCTAAGAATTTAACATTGTTTTCCCTATTATGCGCGAATAGTTTTCCAACGGTGTATAGTACTGTAACTACTAAATTTCCATCTATCGGGCAATATTTTATAAAAGTAGGAATGTTATATCAGCGCGTAGCGATTCAGTTCATTAAAACAACTAGAATTTATCTCTACCATTTGAAGAAACAACAGGCGACAATGTCAATCAGTTGCCCTGCGACGAGCAATTATTCACGTCCTTGTTCTTGGCGGGCGGCATGACGTCCTCGTAGGGCGGTATGTTGGCCTTCCTGAACTCGTCCCGCACGCGCTCGGCCTCCTGGAACACCCGCAGGAAATTGAGGCCGGCCAATTTTTTCAGATCGTCCACGCTCCATTTGCCCGTGCCAATCAACTCGGCGAAGAGCGTCGGATAGGAGGAGACGTCCTCCAGTCCCTGCGGAACGCTGCGAAACGAAAAAAATACGAAAACGTCATAAGCATTTCGGTCGAATCGCCGCTAACAGATGGCGAAGGTTCAATTTCGTTACGGCGATTTTTTTGGCTGGAAAATTGTAACGTACGAGCCTTCCGAATTCTTAAGTAGTTGATCCAATATTCATCCTTATTCCGGAAAAAGCTGAGAGAAATTCCTATTTACTTAAAGCGAGCTTTATTCTAAAGGACATTCGCGCTCGCTAGGCCATGACGTCACAAGCCAACCTGTTGCAACGTTGTCGGGTTGAAATGAAAATCTTTATGTGACAGATATATTTAATTTAAGGTTATGTTTACTTTCATTGTTTAGAAATTAAATAGAAGAAATGCATTAGGCTGCAATCCGATTGACGGGAGAGGTGTTTATTTGCAACGGTTCAAAACCCTATAAAACAGAAATATACATTTAAAAAACTATTCGTAAGTTTAACATAATCTATAAATTTCAATGTGCTGAACTATCGAAAATATTGATCGGGAATTAATCGGGGAAAAAAGGGCCTCCATCGTCCCGTTCCCTCTCAAAATAGGTCGAAAAACACCGAAAATCGCGGGAGAAACTGTCGATAAATGTACATAAACCGCACGAAAAACTATCTAGAACGCACGAAAAACACAAAACCTACTCGTAATCTTGAAAAAATACAGGAAAATCGCGCAAAAACAACAAATTGTTGTCATAACCTGTCAAAGTGTCAACTACAAAGCGCCGCTAAATATTGCGAATGTTGAGACTAATGCATGACAACATCGCCTTCGACTTTCAACTACGCGTCGTAAAATTCCCCTAGTCAAATGGGAGAATTAACATTGACACTAGGGAAATGTTGAACTGCGTGGAAATTAATGACGTCGTCTAAAAATGACGTCATTGCCTAGCGAGCGCGAATGTCCTTTACTTAAATTGAGCGTTACACTAATTAAAGCGAGCTTTAAATAATGCTCTACTCGAAGCGAACTTTACTCTACTCGATACGAGATTTACTCTACTTGAATTGAACTTTTTCTCTACTTAAAGCTAGCTTTACTTTACTTAAAGCCAGCATACTACTTTCTTGAGTAAAGCTCTTTATTATTAGGTTACTTCCACTATCACAGTTGATTCAATATTCATTCTTTTACTCAATATTAAAAGAAATACAGAGAGAAATTTTCATGAAGAATTTCTCTTCGAGCTTATAGATATCGAGTTAATTTCACCGAACGTATCCGCATTCTTTTCCGCGGGATTTTTTTTATTAATTCGGCAAATACCGCACGATCCGAAAGTCCCGATCCCAATTTGACGGGGGCGCGTCCCCGCCGGGAATTGCCCGGAATAAGAACGGGGGCTCTCTCGTATTTACACTGTCGGATTATATTTTTGGTTTCATTAGGGCGTTTAATGAAATAAGAGGGCGGGACGGGACGGGGACGCGCTCATATTCCTCCATCGTTCTGAATCAACATTCCTGCGAAAGCGGCTCCGGCGACTAAGTGGATCGCGAGACGGATAAAAGGAAGATAAATAATTAAAAAAATAAAAAGGCTGCCGAGTGAGGTTCTCGCCGAAGGTATATTCGTTTTATTTTCGCGATGGAATCGATAGGAATCGCCAGTTTTCCTGTAAATTTCCAACGGTACATCAAAGCGGTTAAAGTCCACACCGAACCGGACGCAATTAGAGCTTTCTTCAATCAACCACCGCGATTATTCCGGGCGGATATACAGTGTGTGTCACGACGAGGGTCCATTAAAAGTATCTGGAAAAGTAGTGGTAATTAAAATTTGAAAATTTGTGTACAAGTATTAGTCGATGCGCTCTATTCGATGAAAATATTTTCAACTTTTCTTTACTTCCGGTTATACCGGAAGTGGACAGCAACTTTGTTATTTTTAATGGGACACCCCATATATTAATATATTTTCGAAATGTACGCAAAATTTTAGTGTGCTTTTGTCTAAAAAACTTTTTTCAAAAATGCATACTTTTTGAGTTACTAATTTTTTTTTGAAAAATTTGACCGATGCAGACCCTTATAAATTATTTTTTTACGGGGATCCCTTTAAAGATATGGATACGGTTTCTGTAGGGTGGCTACTAGCAAGGTCAAAGGTACTTGAATCTGTGTTAAACAACTTTTTATTTTATACAGGGTGTATACAAAACATGTGAAATGTTAAACTTCAAAAATACTAAATTATTTCATTTTTTTAAATAGAACCACCCGTTTTTTTCTATTTTATTGAAATCAGCGATAAAAAATAAGGACAGTTCATGTTTACTTCCCTATACCTAAACCTAATAGGTTTGATGATAATAAAAATTTTACTTAAAACTTACTTTTCTGCATTATTCTTAAATAATCCGTTTTTACGAGCTGGCCATGTAAATTGTTTGTAATTAATTGATTATTAATTTTGGTACTTGTGAGATATTACATGGCCAACTTGTAAAACCGAGTTATTTAAGAATAAGGTAGAAAAGTAAGTTTTAAGTAAAATTTTTAATATCATCAAACCTATTAGGTTTAGGTATAGGTAAGTAAACATGAACTGTCCTTATTTTTTATCGCTGATTTCAATAAAATAGAAAAAAATGGGTGGTTCCATTTAAAAAAATTAAAAAACTTGGTATTTTTGAGGTTCAACTTTTCACATGTTTTGTATACACCCTGTATAAAATAAAAAGTTTTTTAACACAGATTCAAATACCTTTGACCTTTCCAGTGGCCACCCTACTGAAACCGTATCCATATCTTTAAAGGGATCACCGTAAAAAATAATTTATAAGGGTCTGCATCGGTCAAATTTTCCAAAAAAAATTAGTAACTCAAAAAGTATGCATTTTTGAAAAAAGTTTTTTAGACAAAAGCACTCTAAAATTTTGCGTACATTTCGAAAATATATTAATATATGGGGTGTCCCATTAAAAATAACAAAGTTGATGTCCACTTCCGGTATAACCGGAAGTAAAGAAAAGTCGAAAATATTTTCATTGAATAGAGCGCATCGACTAATACTTGTACACAAATTTTCAAATTTTAATTACAACTACTTTTCCAGATACTTCGAATGGGCCCTCGTCGTGACACACACTGTATATCCTATAGCTTTCGGTTTAGATTCTTGAAAGGTATAAAAAATTCCTCGAATTACATTCGAATATTACGCGGAAATCTTCAGCAAATATTTAAATTAGGGAGACAATTATCCGACTTGAAAGAAACTGGTTTTAATTGCCTTTTTTTAAGAAAACCCATCCGGAGAATTTTATTTCCAGCCAAAGGATAGAGAATATAGCGAGCAGGATGCGATACTTACTAGTTTATTCCGTCGTAGCCCGCGCCGATGCCGACGCTGTCCACGCCGGCCACTTCCCTGATGTGATTTATGTGAGCTGGAAAACAAAAACAAACGGAATTAATTCCGGTAACGGCAAAAACGGCGCGGCGGATAAACCGCGCCGGCCGCCGCATAAGGTCCGCTCGCATTCGATTCCATATTTTTACCGCACGAACGGTTATTATTCCGCCCGCCGGGATTTATGGCCGGGCGGAAGGTGTTTTGCCGGCGATCTCCCGCATTGGCGTTACAACGAAATATTCCATTGAATTAACATTTATACTGGAAAAAGGGCAAAAGCGTTCCGAGTTTATTCCACCCAAAGCCAGCTCTGTTTAACACAACTCAAAGTGAACTCTACGTTACTACTTTACTCTATTTAAAGTAAGCTTTATTCTAGTTAAAGCGAACTCTACTTTGCTAGATTTATGAAGTTATCTAATTGAAGAAGAGAACTCTATTCAAAGAGAGCTTTATACTCTGTTTAAAGTGAACTTTCCTCTACTCAAAAGGAGAAATAAAGAATCGCGCACTTATCTACGTGAAGAACAGAATTGAGCTTCTACTCTATTCAAAGCGAACTTTACTCCATTTAAAGCGAGCTTTACTCTAACTAAACCGACCTCTAAATTGCTAGAATCGCGCACTTATCTACTTGAGGACTAGAACTGAGCTTTGCTCGATTCAAAAGAAGCTTTACTCTATTTAAAGTGAGCTCTATTTTACATAAAACGAGCTTTACTCTACTTAAAGCTAGCCATACATTGAGTAAAGCTTGCTTCTATTCTCTCATTTATTCTTCAAATAGAGTATATTTCGCCGTTATTCATCGAATGACGAAAAAACCAAGGTGCCCAAAATTAAATTTAATGTGTCTGAAGGGTTGGGCGTTCCTACGTGAATAACATAATTGAGCCTCTACTCTATTCAAAGCGAACTTTACTCCATTTAAAGCGAGCTTTACTCTAACTAAACCGACCTCTAAATTGCTAGAATCGCGCACTTATCTACTTGAGAACTAGAACTGAGCTTTGCTCGATTCAAAAAAAGCTTCACTCTATTTAAAGTGAGCTCCATTTTACATAAACCGAGCTTTACTCTACTTAAAGCTAGCCATACATTGAGTAAAGCTTGCTTCTATTCTCTCATTTATTCTTCAAATAGAGTATATTTCGCCGTTATTCATCGAATGACGAAAAAACCAAGGTGTCCAAAATTGAATTTAATGTGTCTGAAGGGTTGGGCGTTCCTACGTGAAGAACAGAATTGAGCTTCTACTCTATTCAAAGCGAACTTTACTCCATTTAAAGCGTGCTTTACTCTAACTAAACCGACCTCTAAATTGCTAGAATCGCGCACTTATCTACTTGAGGACTAGAACTGAGCTTTGCTCGATTCAAAAGAAGCTTCACTCTATTTAAAGTGAGCTCCATTTTACATAAACCGAGCTTTACTCTACTTAAAGCTAGCCATACATTGAGTAAAGCTTGCTTCTATTCTCTCATTTATTCTTCAAATAGAGTATATTTCGCCGTTATTCATCGAATGACGGAAAAACCAAGGTGCCCAAAATTAAATTTAATGTGTCTGAAGGGTTGGGCGTTCCTACGTGAATAACATAATTGAGCCTCTACTCTATTCAAAGCGAACTTTACTCCATTTAAAGCGAGCTTTACTCTAACTAAACCGACCTCTAAATTGCTAGAATCGCGCACTTATCTACTTGAGGACTAGAACTGAGCTTTGCTCGATTCAAAAGAAGCTCCACTCTATTTAAAATGAGCTCTATTTTACATAAAACGAGCTTTACTCTACTTAAAGCTAGCCATACATTGAGTAAAGCTTGCTTCTATTCTCTCATTTATTCTTCAAATAGAGTATATTTCGCCGTTATTCATCGAATGACGGAAAAACCAAGGTGCCCAAAATTAAATTTAATGTGTCTGAAGGGTTGGGCGTTACGTGAATAACATAATTAAGCCTCTACTCTATTCAAAGCGAACTTTACTCCATTTAAAGCGAGCTTTACTCTAACTAAACCGACCTCTAAATTGCTAGAATCGCGCACTTATCTACTTGAGAACTAGAACTGAGCTTTGCTCGATTCAAAAGAAGCTTCACTCTATTTAAAGTGAGCTCTATTTTACATAAAACGAGCTTTACTCTACTTAAAGCTAGCCATACATTGAGTAAAGCTCGCTTCTATTCTCCCGATTTATTCTTCAAATAGAGTATATTTCGCCGTTATTCATCGAATGACGGAAAAACCAAGGTGTCCAAAATTGAATTTAATGTGTCTGAAGGGTTGGGCGTTCCTACGTGAAGAACAGAATTGAGCCTCTACTCTATTCAAAGCGAACTTTACTCCATTTAAAGCGTGCTTTACTCTAACTAAACCGACCTCTAAATTGCTAGAATCGCGCACTTATCTACGTGAAGAACAGAATTGAGCCTCTACTCTATTCAAAGCGAACTTTCCTCCATTTAAAGCGTGCTTTACTCTAACTAAACCGACCTCTAAATTGCTAGAATCGCGCATTTATCTACTTGAGGACTAGAACTGAGCTTTGCTCGATTCAAAAGAAGCTTCACTCTATTTAAAGTGAGCTCCATTTTACATAAACCGAGCTTTACTCTACTTAAGGCTAGCCATACATTGAGTAAAGCTTGCTTCTATTCTCTCATTTATTCTTCAAATAGAGTATATTTCGCCGTTATTCATCGAATGACGGAAAAACCAAGGTGCCCAAAATTAAATTTAATGTGTCTGAAGGGTTGGGCGTTCCTACGTGAATAACATAATTGAGCCTCTACTCTATTCAAAGCGAACTTTACTCCATTTAAAGCGAGCTTTACTCTAACTAAACCGACCTCTAAATTGCTAGAATCGCGCACTTATCTACTAGAGCCCTGCTCTATTCAAAAAGAGCTTTACTCTAATTAAAGCTAGCCATACATTGAGTAAAGCTCGCTTCTATTCTCTCATTTATTCTTCAAATAGAGTATATTTCACTGTTATTCATCGAATGACGGAAAAACCAAGGTGCCCAAAATTGAATTTAATGTGTCTGAAGGGTTGGGCGTTCCTACGTGAAGAACAGAATTGAGCCTCTATTCTATTCAAAGCGAACTTTACTCCATTTAAAGCGAGCTTTACTCTAACTAAACCGACCTCTAAATTGCTAGAATCGCGCACTAATCTACTTGAGGACTAGAACTGAGCTTTGATCGATTCAAAAGAAGCTTCACTCTATTTAAAGTGAGCTCTATTTTACATAAAACGAGCTTTACTCTACTTAAAGCTAGCCATACATTGAGTAAAGCTCGCTTCTATTCTCCCGATTTATTCTTCAAATAGAGTATATTTCGCCATTATTCATCGAATGACGGAAAAACCAAGGTGCCCAAAATTGAATTTAATACGTCTGAAGGGTTGGGCGTTCCTACGTGAAGAACACAATTGAGCCTCTACTCTATTCAAAGCGAACTTTACTCAATTTAAAGTGAGCTTTACTCTAACTAAACCGACCTCTAAATTGCTAGAATCGCACACTTATCTACTTTAGGACTTGAACTGAGCTTTGTTCGATTCAAAAGAAGCTTCACTCTATTTAAAGTGAGCTCTATTTTACATAAAACGAGCTTTACTCTACTTAAAGCTAGCCATACATTGAGTAAAGCTCGCTTCTATTCTCCCATTTATTCTTCAAATAGAGTATATTTCGCCGTTATTCATCGAATGACGGAAAAACCAAGGTGCCCAAAATTAAATTTAATGTGTCTGAAGGGTTGGGCGTTCCTACGTGAATAACATAATTGAGCCTCTACTCTATTCAAAGCGAACTTTACTCCATTTAAAGCGAGCTTTACTCTAACTAAACCGACCTCTAAATTGCTAGAATCGCGCACTTATCTACTAGAGCCCTGCTCTATTCAAAAAGAGCTTTACTCTAATTAAAGCTAGCCATACATTGAGTAAAGCTCGCTTCTATTCTCTCATTTATTCTTCAAATAGAGTATATTTCACTGTTATTCATCGAATGACGGAAAAACCAAGGTGCCCAAAATTGAATTTAATGTGTCTGAAGGGTTGGGCGTTCCTACGTGAAGAACAGAATTGAGCCTCTATTCTATTCAAAGCGAACTTTACTCCATTTAAAGCGAGCTTTACTCTAACTAAACCGACCTCTAAATTGCTAGAATCGCGCACTAATCTACTTGAGGACTAGAACTGAGCTTTGATCGATTCAAAAGAAGCTTCACTCTATTTAAAGTGAGCTCTATTTTACATAAAACGAGCTTTACTCTACTTAAAGCTAGCCATACATTGAGTAAAGCTCGCTTCTATTCTCCCGATTTATTCTTCAAATAGAGTATATTTCGCCGTTATTCATCGAATGACGGAAAAACCAAGGTGCCCAAAATTGAATTTAATACGTCTGAAGGGTTGGGCGTTCCTACGTGAAGAACACAATTGAGCCTCTACTCTATTCAAAGCGAACTTTACTCAATTTAAAGTGAGCTTTACTCTAACTAAACCGACCTCTAAATTGCTAGAATCGCACACTTATCTACTTTAGGACTTGAACTGAGCTTTGTTCGATTCAAAAGAAGCTTCACTCTATTTAAAGTGAGCTCTAGTTTACATAAAACGAGCTTTACTCTACTTAAAGCTAGCCATACATTGAGTAAAGCTCGCTTCTATTCTCTCATTTATTCTTCAAATAGAGTATATTTCGCCGTTATTCATCGAATGACGGAAAAACCAAGGTGCCCAAAATTAAATTTAATGTGTCTGAAGGGTTGGGCGTTCCTACGTGAAGAACAGAATTGAGCCTCTACTCTATTCAAAGCGAACTTTACTCCATTTAAAGTGAGCTTTACTCTACCTAAACCGACCTCTAAATTGCTAGAATCGCGCACTTATCTACTTGAGGACTAGAACTGAGCTTTGCTCGATTCAAAAGAAGCTTCACTCTATTTAAAGTGAGCTCTATTTTACATAAAACGAGCTTTACTCTACTTAAAGCTAGCCATACATTGAGTAAAGCTCGCTTCTATTCTCCCGATTTATTCTTCAAATAGAGTATATTTCGCCGTTATTCATCGAATGACGGAAAAACCAAGGTGCCCAAAATTGAATTAAATACATCTGAAGTGTTGGGCGTTCCTTCAGCTATCCCTTAGCGATGAATCCCAAGTCCCCGCGTCCCTTTCCGGTCGCTAATCCGATACCGTCTTCGAAACCTCCCCGTGTAGAGTAAACGACGCATATTCCATAATTCATGTGTGTACAACACAACACCATTAGTCAACCTTTACGGAATGTCCCGATGGTGATTTAGAGGGAAGCGGGAAAAGGGTTTCGGGCAACGGGATTGCAGCGAGAACGAGAGTTTGCTGGAAACAGCAACGGAAAATAAAGCGATAGGTTTGTGTGATGTAGCAGAAGATTATGGGATTGGTGTTAATATTTCGCGAGATGAGGCAATAAAAAAAGGTGTAACAAGGTGAAATGGGGCGATTAAAGCACGCAGAAGATACCGCAAACGATGATTAGCCCCCTGTTGATTCGCGATTCACGATCGTCTCTCCCTTCATAGCGATTCTCGCTCATTAAAATATGAAGACCGGCCAATGAAAAGGAAAAAAGGGAGGCTCTCTCTCCCGGCATAAAAATGCCGGGGAAAAGTTAATTTCGCCGGTCGGTATTATAGAAAGGAATACGCATTCGCCATATAATATAGGTACGTTAAACATTTTTCCTCCCCGGGGCAATTCCCGGATATTCGTCACGATAAATTTCGGCTTCGGCGAGACAACAACGGTCGTTTTAGATTAAAGACGTGACTCGCGTCGCCTTTAAGACCGCCGGTGCTCGTGCACGGGGGTTTATTAGGAAATAGCGGAACCGGCGAGTGTGTACATACTTCCCAGCATTTATTTGCGACCGGCCTTTCACATCAGTACGGTCGAATTTTTTGATAACTAATAACCGTTTCGTGATCGGAAAATAATAAATACTTACGTAGATCGGTTTGGTAGCAACGGAGAGGAGTACGATGTGTGATAATACGGTTTTTGACCACATTTGTGAATGGAAATAAGTCATTAGAACTCTACACTGTTTTCAGTTGCTGAAAATTCAATATTTTAAGAAATGTGGCCATTTTGATTTTAAACTTTTGACAGGTGACGTGTAAAATCGCTAACCGATCACAAAACCGAAATGTTCGGAAGAATAGAAAGAAGAAACGAACAAAATTCAAATGACAGATGACATATATGTTTTATGTTATTGTAATTTCTTTGTTTTAAGTTTTTTTGAGCCAAAAATAAACACTTTTTTTTTAGAATACAATGAGGAATTTTCACAAAACGACATGAAACAGGTTTTAACTACCTTCGGATGCGATTAAAATTGTATAAGTTGATTTAGTTGGAGGTTAAGTTTTTATTTTTATTATTATAGTTTGATGATTGGTACCAATTGACATTTTCAATGCCTGTGCTATCGTTATCAAGATGGTGATACTAAAATATCCCATTTAAGCGACATTAATATGAAATTTGCAAAATTTATCTTTTGTATTAGGTACAGCAGACATTTTCGCTTACAATTTCTATACTTTACAAGCGACACTTTTCCTCTATTGCATGCATAATGGAGACACATTCGATGGAAAATCAGCGGGTTTAGCGCGTCGTTCGTTCAAACTTCCATTGGCCCGGTTCCAGAAATATTAAAGAAAGCGATCCGTCCGCGTACACGCGGCTCGGAAGCGCCGTCGACGAACTTCCAGGTCGAGATGGAAGCGAAATGAGCATTTTTATCTTTCGCACAACAAACAAGGCAGGAAACGACGGGCTCCCCTTAAATCAACTACGAGGAAACGCGAAAGTTCGCCCGGGTTTTGTTTGAATACGGGCGATAAATCGCGCCGGGATCGCTGCCAACGTTACTCCGATTGCTCGCAGTAACTCAAATAGCATTAAAAATTTACTTTTTTTTATATATATCAATCGCGTTCGCCGACGACCTGGGATGTGCCTCGGTATTCCCGAAATTAAAAGATCAATACCGCTCGCCCTGATAGAACACAATCATATACTCACCAACTGCATCAGCTATGGTGGAGACCTCCTTGCAGGTGAGGAACAACGAATAGAAATTCACCATGATAACGCCTCGGTTCATCGCCAATTTCCTCAATGTATCGTCCGGAACATTCCTCGTGGAATTGCACAGCGCATGCGCCGACGAGTGACTGAATATGACAGGCGCCTTCGACTCCTCCAGGGCGTCGCGCATTGTATTCACCGACACGTGGGACAGATCCACGATCATACCCAAACGGTTCATTTCCTTTATTATGCTCTGCGAAAAACGACAATAGCTCAACCGAGAAATAACTAGAGTGTCTACGAGACTCATATAATTGAACTCAAGAGGATTGTCTGCTTAAGAAAGTAGTTTTAATTGAACCAAGAGGACTCCATTCACCAATTCCAAAATTCCTAAGAATTACTTTTGGATCAATTACCTAACCAAGAGAATCATTTGCTTGCCCAAGAGAGTCAATTGTCTATTTGAGAGAGCCTATACAGGGTGTTTCACAACTTATCCGACAAATTTTAACCACATATGCACTGTTACGAGAGAAGTTAATTTCCCAAAAAAAAATTAATAAAAGTCTTACAGAAATCGAGATAATAAAATAATAGTTTAACAGTTCAATTACTTATACAAGATGTTCAAAATTGTTCCCATTTACTGCAATGCAAGCTTGGGTGCTTGTTTTTTTTGTTTTAACCATTGTTTTGGTGCAACATTTGCTACAGTAAAGTATTAAGGCAAAATTATGAACGCAAAATGCAGTATTTATTTTTCAATTTTTTGAAACTTGGGTTTATAATTTTATTTCTGTAGGACTTTCATTACATTTTTTTTGAGATTTCTCAAAGAGAGAGAAGTTGATTTCTCAAAAAAATGTAATAAAAGTCCTACAGAAATAAAATTATAAACCCGAGTTTCAATAAAAAATTGAAAAATAAATACTGCATTTTGCGTTCGTAATTTTGCCTTAATACTTTACTGTAGCAAATTTTGCACCAAAACAATGGTTAAAACAAAAAAAAACAAGCACCCAAGCTTGCATTGCGGTAAATGGGAACAATTTTGAACATCTTGTATAAGTAATTGAACTGTTAAACTATTATTTTATTATCTCGATTTCTGTAAGACTTTTATTACATTTTTTTTGGGAAATTAACTTCTCTCCTAACAGTGCATATGTGGTTAAAATTTGTCGGATAAGTTGTGAAACACCCTGTATTGGTTCTTGAGTTAAAACTATGGATAATTTTCCGTCCACCCTTTGAAGCTACGGGGACCACCATGTCCGGGTTTCAGTCAGCTAGGTCTAATGAAAGGAAAGTCTAATTTGATCCTTTTCTCTTAACTTTATTTGCTTGATTAAATTCGGCCGCTTTGATCGGAGACACCCGGCCCGATGGTGGCGTCAATTAAATTATGAGGAAGAATATAAAAGACAAGCCTCCATTGAATGGGGTTAATCAAATGGACGGACGGCGAGGGAGCGGATTACGCTGAGAAAAAAAATCTGTTCGACTTGTCAGTGTATGTAGTTGGTAGTGATTTTCTCGCAGGAAATTAGTTTCCTCGCAGTTTACGGGCGGCCAAATGGAGAAACAAAACATTATCGATAAAATGTGAAGAAGCGCGTCTAATATCGCGGTGGTTTATAGGAAAGTCGGGCAAAGTTTGGTGGCCGGCGTAGAACAAAAGGGCATCAAAAGTTTCGCCGCTAAAGCAGCCATTTATGCACTCTTCGGATTACTGCCTCCCGTATACGAAATTTATTACTGGGAATTTATGAACGAACTTTCGGTCCCTCTTTTGTTTTCGCCGGGCTCCTCTTCCCTGTTTCGCTATTTTTTTTTAATTCATTCGTTTTATCGGTCATAGCGAGCTTTACAGCCGCACCTACATTGTACAAGTGCACTGGAAGATTAAATTAAAAACGGAATACTCACTTTTCCGAAGGCGGTGAGTCCCCCGTGCTCCGGCTTCTTTCCCGGCATGTCCGCGTGCGAGCAATCCGCCCTGAAACCCAACGCACTTTCACAAAAAAATAATCAACAGAAGAAAAGATTGGAGAATTCTCGATGCACCGGATGCAGCGAATTTAAGCGCTCGATCGCATCAGCAAAAGGAGTCGCTGTAATAATGATTTACATTTCGTCATATCGAAGAGACAATCGTGTAAATAAATCGGACTAGACAGTATATAGAAGAAAAACTCTAAGCAGGACCCTTTTCAATGGCGGCTTGAGTTGGGTCCGGCGTGGAGAAAAGCGAGGATGAGGTTACGAGAGCGTTTTGTAACCCATCGTGTGTATTCTGCGGAGCATTACGAGATAAGTACAGTCCGTGATTAATTATGATACTTGGACATGATCTATGTTCCGGGATACTCCGGGACTTTAATTTTATCAGAAAGTTCGCCGGCCGCCGTTGCTGTTAGCCGGCAAAGCGGAGCATTAATTCGCGGAAACTCTAATTCCCTTTCGAGTGAAATTAGTTTAATGGATAGAGATATAACGATCTGTTACGTCTTCGACGAAGTTTCGGTATCTATGCGCGTTTTTTTTAATGCTTAAAAAGTATTGTTATGTTATACACCGTTGGAAATTTAATTTCGCATAATAGGGAAATCAATGTTAAATTCTTAGCCGGCTGAAATCCAGTCTACCAGCATACATTTCAATAGAACGTCGCGATGAATTCTAATAAATTTAATTGTTCTACTGGACCGCACGCCGCGATTTGTAGAGGTACAAAGTTATTTGTGTTAAGTATGAGGTACAAAATTACTTAGAAACTAAATTTAGTATTTTTTTTAGGATATTTCAAAAAAATATGTGTATCGGTAGGTACAGTTTTGAAAGAGCAACAAATCTTGTTGAAATAACGGAAAAAATAATTCAATTTTCTGCTAGAATTATACCTCAGCTCAGTAATATGAGATGACATCTGTATGACAGGTTTGGCTGTTGTTTAGCAGAAAGCGGTGTACTATTTTTTAGAGTTCTTTTATTTTCTTTTTTAAAATTATCTTTAAGTTTATTTTTGGAGTTTCCTTTTTATTATTTTCTTAGAATTTACTTTCTTTTTCAAGCCATTGTGGCAAAAAGACATATCTACATAATTCTATTTTAATATTAGTGATATTTTTTCAATAAATTATCGTTTAAAAATTCTCATTTCTTTATAATCGACTCGACGTTCACCCATCCAAACCCGTTTTGATACTGTCGAAACCGTCGAAATTATTTGATTTTTAATCTAACCAAACCAAATCGCGGTGTGAAGTCCAGTAGAACAATTAAATTTATTAGAATTCATCGCGACGTTCAATTGAAATGTACACTGGTAGACTGGATTTCAGACGGCTAAGAATTTAACATTGATTTCCCTATTATGCGCGAATAGTTTTCCAACGGTGTATAGACTGTAGCAAGAATGTATTAGCGACATCCTGTATAGAGTAGTAGAAAAAGGAGACTCACCAGGGCGTGTTGCAAGTAGAAGTAAGCGTCAAATATCTGACTCCGACGTGATAGAGGGTCCTCAAAACGGCCAAACTTCCAGCCAACGAGTGGCCCCCTTCAACTCCTATCAGCGAACAAAGTTGACGTTTTTTGTACGCGTTCTTGATTTCTGAAAGATAATTTAACAAAACTCCCGTTAAGATTCGCATCTCGGAATAAAAATGAGGCGTATCGCTGCAACTTTTTCTTTGCATACCCCGTAGCATTTATGCGGGGAATACATTATAAACTCGCGATAGAGCGAAGAGAAATCACGCACAGAATGGTATAAAAATCATTAAATTCAATGATATAAATAGACGCGATTTTCTCGTACATTTCTTTCGAACACTCTTTTATCCTGCAGCGCATTGTTTTTTTATCTGTCGCAGGATTTTTATTATTATCACGCGAATCATTTATTTTATCGTTACTGACGTACTTCGTTCCCTCGAATTGTATTTATTTTAAATTCGCATCGGAAGCGATGAATGGGGAATTTCGCCGTGTAAATTGTAATCGAAAGTCGCCGTTTTGCATGAAATTCTCGGACCGGGGGAGAAAAACGAAAAACGGGCGAAGGAATGTCGTTGAAAACTTCACTGCGGGAATTAATTCGCAGGTCGGGCACGGACGTTTTCGCTCTTAATTCCTCCAATATCCCGAAACGAGGTTGTAAATGTTACAAATTGCTAATAATTGACGTTTTCGAATCGTTCTCGGTATCGGGTCTGTCGCTTTTTACGGATCGGAACGGGCGACATTTCGGATACAATGTTTTCGCTGCGGGAAATTCCGAAGAGGGAAATAAGAAAAACCGGATTTATTGCTTCGAGAGAAAAGAAAGGTTTTTATTGATAACGATTCGTTTTCGTATACATGCAAGTTAAATTGATGGGAACATTCAGGTAGTATTAATCATCCACAATTTCCTATATAAACTTTGATGAAATATGTTCTAAAACAATTTTTTATTGTATTCTTTACAATTTGTTACAGAATCAATTCGCAAAATTTGGCAAAACTTCAAATTTATAAATAGACGATTCGTGCTAAGCGATACGCCCTCTGGCGGATAGTCTAAGAACCGAGCTAAGAGCCATTGAGCGGCTATTGTCTTTGTTGTTGTTTATGACAAAACATACTAGTTTAGTTGTGTTTTTTAAGTTTTCGTGTTTGTTGGAGATTTTTAAAATGAACCAATATTGCTGCGTTCCCCAGTGTTTATCCTAGATCAAGCGAAATCCTAATTTAAGTTTTCATCTTTTCCCGAAAGCAGGAAAATCGAAGGTTTTTGTGGAAACTAAGCCTGGATTTACTTGGAACTAATTGATAGAAGATTGTTGTGGATATGAACATTAAAAATCGGAAAAAATGTATCAAATACGATGAAAGTGTGCTCATTACATTTTAAGTAATATTTTACAGAAAGGTAAGTGTATTACGATTCAAATCCATTTTATTCCATTATTTTCTTTTTAGTTAAAGTAAAACGTAGAACATTAAAATCATTTGCTGTGCCGTCCCAGAATCTGCCACAAGGGTTAAGTAATACATCCCCAGGACCATATTCAGAGAAAAAAAACGAGAAAAGTGCCCAACAAAAGTGGTCTAACCTGTGAACCAATGGATATAAATATTGAGGATCAACAGGAGGAAATTTATTAATTAATATAGATTTTGAGAACCAAGAAGCAGCAGAAGCATTACTAAATGTATTTGAAATATTTAATTTTTAATTTGTTTCGCTTTGTTTCTAAAAATAAAAAGTATTTTTTAAAAGGGGTTATGGTTTCTACAATTTATTTTGTCGCTAACCTGACACTATTAACTATCTACAAGACGCTAATAATGTTATAAATGTCCTTAATAATCGAAATCTGCTATAAAAATACCAATTTTACTTAAAAAATATCTAAAAAAGACCGATTTTATTATACACCACATTCGTAAACAACAGTTTAATGGTACTTAGCTAGCTTTTAGCTGTCACCACCATGGCGCTGCGATCTTAACCCGAGTCGTCTATACTCGATAAACGATTCCCACCTTTACACTAAACGTAAAAAAAATTGACAGTTTTGACACTATTTGGATGTGTCTAATCAACCTATATTGAATCGTGTATACACAACCAACCATTTCATTTTGCTCATTCCAGCTATATTCTAAAACACTTTAATAGCTGTTTCAAATGCACGTAGCATTAAATTTCGAAAAATAACTCTCCCGCGATAATTAGACTCCTAATAGGTATAGTGCAAACGGCACGAGACTGATAAATTTAATTGCGCTGCAGCAATTCGAAATATCCCAGGATTGTCGGACATAAAACCGAATTAGTTTTTCGTCGGAAGGCGCCGCTTTCGCGAGATTAGTTGTAAAATCTCGACGGCCTCGTAATTTCCAACGAAGACCCATAAAAATGGTTGCATCATGCACTGCTCGGGGCCAATTTTAAATTATATCTAACATCGAGTCCCTTCTGCGAGAGGGTGCACAACTGCAGGAAATTTTAATAGAGCAAGCTCGAGCGTTAAACTCACCTTCTGACGATGTGCAGAGCGTCAATCTGGGTTGATACTGATCAGTCAGCCGCCTGATGACGTCTATTTGCTCCAGAGTGAGCTGCACGGCGTCTTTGTATTGAGAATCGCAAGGCACGTACGCCGCCCAGAACTGCAAATTAATAAAATTGATATAATAAATCGAGCATTTATTAACCGGTTCGACTTTAGCACCCCGTTCGAGGCCGGAATTATAGTTGCAAATTAGTTCGGCGCTATTCGAAAACACATCGAACTCAATTAAGAACTCGAATATCGCATTAACTGAGAAATAAACGCCGAAGTGCCCTAATCTAGTTAGGATCTTCTCCTTTACATTAAACGTGCATCGATTTTAATATTACAAAAAAGATTCTCCGAATGCAATTACAGGACTGCGAAGTACAGACAATAAAAGCAAAAGGAGCGACGAGGCGTTTTAAGCGAGAGATTCAGGAATTGAACGACGATCGGACTTTCTCACAAATCACTCCCGAAAGTACAAAGCGTAGTTCATTTATGCAGAAGCGAGCGGCTTGCACGGCGAAAAGGCCACACACATTCGAGAAAACGCAATTAAGTAGGTGTTCAGAGAGAGATTTGTATTCTCCGTTCGCTCTAATTACTTACTAACTGTTGAGTTGCTCTCCTTTGGAATTGCCACTCGCTCTAACTGCTATGCCAGTTTAGTGAGCGTGCGACCTATACTCTAAATAATCCGGAGTACTTGTTGATTAAGTTCACCAAAGTTATTATACACTTTTTTAAACACATTAGAAGTGTAATAGAAGCGACTTTCTTAGTGTATCGATTAATTATTCCTGTAACTTATACCACATGCAAATTAATTCTCGTTGAGATGGAATTCGTTCAATTCGCTCCACCTTTGGTGGAGTTACGGCTACAACACGTGCAGTCGTTTTCTTGGAGGAATTGCGACAAACGGATCGTAAATTCAGTTCGCAGCCGAATATACGCTCGCCAATTCAAATCTACAATAATCTAACAAGCGCAGGAATTAGTTTCCTGCAAAAGTTATTGAATATAACAACGCGCGTTACCTGCGCTGCTCGTCAAATTTTTATCTCTACACTCCGTTCGCTGTAGCAGGAAATAGTAGTAAAATCTTCTTGAAGCCGTTAATCTTAAGCGCGCCAAAAAATTAATAAAAGAGGGTCCTATTGAATTAATAACTAACAATTACTTGTAATAATATACCGGTAGTAGAAGAGAAGAGAATAGGGAGTAAATAGTAGAGAGAAGTATGCTGTTTTCTGCACATAAAATTTAGCTCTATTATCTCCTGATAGCGAACGGAGTATAGGAAGACTAGCACGAATACATGGGCTCTCTTAGTTTGTGAATTAATAATTGCCCGGGCGTTTTCTCGCGGCCGATTCCACGTCGGGGAATTTATATCTAAATTAATCAGGAGTTTTTCCGCGTTTTCGACTTGGCGATTTATCGCAAACACACGGGGCCCGGCCTAGCCTAGGGCCTAGCGGTCCGTGATTTACTTTGCAATCATTTATAACGAGCCGGAGGTGTGGTCGTGACAACGGCGCCGCTGCAAAAGGGAAAACTAAACCGGGGCTCCACCGACTATTATTTAAGAGAATTGTTTTTTTATTGGGTTGTTGCGGTGTATCGATTGTTACACAAATAGTAAGAAATAAAATCTATAATTAACTTCATCTTCTTATCTTTGCAGCTAAATTAGGACTATTATTTAAGAGAATTGTTTTTTTATTGGGTTGTTGCGGGGTATCGATTGTTACACAAATAGTAAGAAATAAAATCTATAATTAACTTCATCTTCTTATTTTTGCAGCTAAATTAGGACTATTATTTAAGAGAATTGTTTTTTTATTGGGTTGTTGCGGTGTATCGATTGTTACACAAATAGTAAGAAATAAAATCTATAATTAACTTCATCTTCTTATCTTTGCAGCTAAATTAGGACTATTATTTAAGAGAATTGTTTTTTTATTGGGTTGTTGCGAGGTATCGATTGTTACACAAATAGTAAGAAATAAAGATCTATAATTAACTTCATTTTCTTATCAAATTAGGGATGGATGTTCGAATTGGATGGAGTTTAAATGTTTATATTCAATCAGAGGAAAGGCATTAGGTCCGGATAGCTCTCGGTTTTGTAGCATTCGGGGGGACGATTCCCGATTCAATTATTAATTGCCCTCGGAGAGAATTATGCCCGTGTTTCTTGTCGATTTACAATTGCCGAACGCCAACTGAACCCGATTAAGAAATATGTTGGTAGTTTGGAGGAATAATTGTTATTGGGGTGACGCGGGCTCACGATCCATTTGCTCGTGTATTACAACGTTAAGTTGTAATGTAATGTTTGAGTAATGGACCAAAAAGGCCCGCCTTCGCTAGTGTTTGGTTTAGTTCGCTCGGCGTGGATTTAATTTAATCTTTCGCGTTGAATCTGTTGAGGACGATCGAGAAATTCGGGTAATTAAGTGTTAATAAAATGCATCATTTTGTATAATTTTTTTTATTCAATTATAGGTCCCGTGGAGCTAGTTTTTGTAAACAAAAACAAGCTAATGATTAAACAAATAAACTTTTCATTAATAAATTATTAGAGGAAAATATCAGTTAGGAAATTAATCAGTGATAATTTATTTTGAGTTATACTTTAAATTATCCATGCTAGAAGCTACTTATAAATTTACATATGTATCTCTATTTAACAATTCTAACCATATTATATTCGGTAGTCTAATTTTACCTCATTGTATCTTTGATAAATCTATCAATAAATATATAAATATGTATAAATAACAGATAAATAGTTGATAATTTGCAGGTTTTTTCGAGAATAATTTAATAAGGTAATCAGTAGTCAAGTAAATCCTACAAAATTCGAATAAATATTGTCATTTTTGTGTATGGAAATAATCAATACTAAGTATTCATAACAATTTAAAGATAAAAACAGGGTTATTTCCAACATTTTGTTAAAAAATAACAGGAAGCAAATAATATTTGCAAGAAGACTTCTCGATAAAAGTATTGTAAACAACTTTATAATATAAAAATATTACCTAATTTTTCTTAAACCACTAATAATTAATAAAATCAACTAACAAGAATCTGATAAAAACCTACTTCTTTTGCGACCTATTTCTTAAATTTGGCTTCGATTTTGTACGGACATTATTACTCAATTTCCCATCAGTCTTGCAATTATCACGTCGTTTCTTGAACTCCACTAAATTCTCGTTTTTAATCCGAATTTTGAGCGGTGTGCACATGCTGAAAACTCACATTATTTAATAATTCTCAAAATCCGATGAGCTACGAACCTGCTAAGTAACGCAGCTCTAGCCTGCCTTTTACTGACTGCTTTAGAAGCTACCTTTTTCCTAATCAGTTTCACTCGCTTGGAAGGCATCGTGTTCTCTTTGCAGTTATTTCTACGCTGCTCGAGATCTTCATTTCTAATGGCCACTTTAAGAGGCTTGCAGACACTAAGACAGAATTCACTGTAGTTCTTATTGCCTAATACCTGGTGATATTGCCGCTTCGGGAACTTGTACTCGTGCGCGTGTTGGGGCTTCGATGGTTCCACGTAACTCACATTGTACATTTTCCTGCTGGATTTTATCGATTGATTCAAAAATCGATCGACTCTATCCATTTTCCTTTCCACGTAATCGTCCTGCACGTCGCTGGTTCCCGATTTGAGTATTAATTGGCCTATATTCGAGGAGAACGGTATGCGAGTGCTCAATTTTTTCCGTAAAGGTTTAATACTGCCTCCTTGAGCTATATGTGAGCTATTTCTATCCGAATTTGCATTCGAATTGAGTTGAAAATAAGACAAGAAGTCTAATTGATTCGAGACTTTCTCCTCGCATCTAAAAAATTAAAATATACCATTCCTTATCGAGCGAACTTAGTATTACTTACTTATGTTCTTTATAAGATTCGGGTGCGATATCGTTTCTATTGAGAGATATAGAGAGAATTTTTTGTTCTTTTACAGCAGGCGAACTCTCCGGAACCATTTTAATTCGTTTAAAATTGCAATAATCGTCGTTGCGAAGCCGAAGGCACTTCTCCTTGGAGTCCCGGAACAAATTGCAACAGTCCAGCACGATTTTTTTTAAATTGTACCGCCATTCTAGTTTAATGCTCGTGAGGTTCCTTTGCAACGACAAGTCGTTGAACCAGCTGTGGGAAGACATGATATTCGCTGAACTAGCACCTAACGCCTTGGGTGTGAATTTCACCAAGAGGGTCACGAAATGCGCCAATTCTTCTATGTTTAAATCGCGCAAACGGCGTAAAGGATAATAGCCGCCTTCCACGTCTTCTAACAGCCTTATATAAACGTCTTCTATCTTCATCGGGCTTTTAGCCATTGTAGCAACATTAATGTTGCTCGTGTACAGTAAAACAACAATAACAATCACTGTTAACGAAATATGTAGCACGTGTATTGCACAACGAATTGTTTAAATGCACAATATGTGGACCAAAACGTCGCTTAATTGTTGATAAATAAATTTAATAATAGAAAATATTTGTTTTCGACAATTCACAAGATCATGGAATTCGGAAGAACGCAGAACTGACAGTGCGAATGACGCTTCAAATGACGCTTGCGTCAGTTTGCCATCTATTGATTAATTTGGGAACTAAAATGCGCCGTTGCGCGTTCGGGGAATAGGGTCAACGCGGCGTTGCCGCTTTACTCGCAATTTCCCTTCTATTAGGAAAATAATTTTTTCAAGAACTATTAAAATGAAAAATGAAATGTGTTTATTTTTATTTTTATCTCTATGAGTTTTATGTGCTACCTGTTTTTTATTAACATAATTAAATTTTAAAGAGGCATAAAGTTGCAGAACAAATATACTGCTCCACAAAAATTAAGGAAGTTTACAAATATTGAGATTAATTTAAAAGTTGCAGGTTTTTTGATCGCCAAATTTTGTATGAGTTGTATAAGAAGGCATTTAATTTCGCATATTTGAAAATTTGATGATCAAAAAGTCTGTAACTTTTAAAATAATCGCAAAATTTGCAAACTTTCTTAACTTTTGTGGAGCAGTTTAATTTCTTTTCTACATTTTAATTGAAATATGACCTTTTTCA